GAGTATTCCCAGACTCTGTAACTGTGTAATCTCAGGTGGGATTTGCCCACCCAACTTGTTTTGCTGAAGCTTCATAACTTCAAGCTTGGTTATATGGCCCAGTTCCGCTGGCAGTGTCCCAGTTATGTTATTCTGAGCCAAGTTCAACAGCGACAAATTCTGGCAGGCACCCAATCCCCGAGGTATGGGCCCAGAAAAGCTGTTGTTTTCCAGCTCCAAGTAAGCCAAGTTCTGAAGTATTGCGAGCTTTGCAGGGATTGAACCACTGAGTAAGTTGCTTCCCAATCTCAGCCTTACCAAGCTGCTGCTGGAAGATATTCTTTCAGGTATTGTTCCATTTAAAAAATTATAAGACAAATCCACGTGGTGCAAACTTGACGGTGACAAAAGGTCAGATGGAATCAACCCAGATAAGTTATTATAGCTAAGGTCTAAAATTTTGATATATCTTGTAATCCCAGCAGGAACTTCACCAACAAAATTGTTCTTATTAGCTGCAAACCGCTGCAGGGTGCTGATACTTGAAATGGATTTTGGGATTTTTCCTCTCAAATGATTGGATGACAGATGCAAGAGTTGCAACTTGGACAGGTTACCGATAGCTTCAGGAATGGACCCATTAAGAAAATTATCACTAAGATCAATGATGTTTAAATTCTTATATGTCAGCAATTCTACAGGAATTTCACCAAGGAACATATTCTTAGACAGCTGAAGTTGTTCCAAAACAAAAGATTTCCCTAGCTCAGTAGGAACAGACCCACTGAATTCATTGGCAATAAGATTCAAACTTTTGAGTGAAACCAACTGACTCAACTGTGAAATAATCTCTCCATTCAAACCATTAAAAGACAAATCCAAGAATTCAAGTCCAACAAAATTTCGAAAAGCAGGCAAAGAACCAACCAACCTGTTCCTGCTAAAATCCAACACCTTCAACCCATCAATCCCTCCACAACCATTGAAGAACCCATCTGAGATACTTCCCAAATAGTTGTTGGACAGGTTCAGAGACTGCAAAGAGCCAATCTTGCACAGCTCAGTCAGAAAGTCAGAGCCAGAGAGACCAAACCCATATAAAGAAAGTGAGATTATGGAGCTGTTGTTTGGGGGGCTGCAACTGACACCTTTCCACAAACATGGGTCAGACGCTTTGGGTCCATTCCATGGTGAAGGTGTGCCGCCGAGCGACTGATTCAGATTGAACATGATACTCCTTTGATTTTCATCAAGCTGAGCCAACACCAAGGGATGCAACAAGAAGAAGAAGGACAAGAACAAGGAAAGACTCATTT